GGGGCTGGTGCGGGATCGGGCAGTGTTTCGTTCTGCTGTGCATGGGGTCGCTATGAGTCGGAAACGACTCGACGGCACTTAACAACAACAACAACATGGAGGCTAGAAATCACTGCAGTTGGGTGGATCTGTAACTGCTTGAACTAAAATACCAGTCAACAGACTGATGCTCCCCTGGAGGACAAACACTCTTTAATGGAGTGTGTGAGGCTCTGTCCTTGTCTGCTCCAATATTCCTATTAAAGGTTTAGAAGAAGATGAAGAAAACACCATGCTAGAAAAGCAAATCATGAAAGATTCAAATTTATCTTTCCAAAAGCTAAAAATAAATGAGAAAAATAAATGAGAGAGAGATGTTGCCTTGCATTCAGTAAAAAAAAAAAAAGTGGAGTCAATGTTATAAGATGAAGGAGGACTGGTTTAGGAGTGGTTCATGTGGTAAGATTCAGGAATGTAGGCATACATTCAATAAAAATTCCTCAAGTATCCAGGCCAGCCAATGCTGAGGGACTATAAAGATGAAAAGACACATATCTCAGAGGTTTTCATGGAGGTCACAATCTAGTGGGGAGACAGACCTGGAAACAGTTTTTGTTTTTTTTTTCTTTTTCCTTTTTTTTTAAATATAAATGTTAAGATGTACAAGGAACAACACAATAAGAGAGGAAAAGGCACCTCTGCTTTACAGAGCTGATACTGAGATGAGACTTGAAGGACCAGTAAGCTAGGCGTTGACCAGAAAACATAGCATGGGAAGTGTGGTAGTTGTGTGTCAACTTGTCTAGGCCTGGTTTCAAGGGGCTGGAAAGCTGGATGTAATTGTTCCCCATGATAAGACTGGCAATCAACTCCATGGTGGAATCTACTGTGAGCGGCTGAATAGTTGCCTTAGGGATGTGGTCTGCTTCCTGTATATAAGCAGCAGCTTTGGGGACAGTCTCTATGCTTTTGGCACTTCTGAGTCCCGCATTTGGCTGAGTCTTCATCTCAATGTTATCTGCCAATATTGGGACTATTAATGGACTTGAATTAGTGGCCTGCTGTGTGGTTTGATAATTTTGGGACTGTGCCATTTCACTTGTCAACCTTGGGTTTGTCAGTCTCAGTAACCAGCAGCTGAGCTAAGAGAAGTCTCCAGCTTCAGTGGGCTGAAAGCAAAAGACAGAGCTGAAGCCCAAGGTCAAGGGGCTTTCATCTAGCCCCTAGAGCTTGGCATTTTGAACTTGGACTTCTAGCCTCCAAAAGTGTAAGAGAATAAATCCCTGTTGGTTAAAACCATCCACTTGTGGTATTTTCTGTTACAGCAGCACTAGAGAACCAAAACAGGAAGTGATGGTTTTCTATGTGGAATCTCCTTGGAAGGAAGGTTGGGCAATCCACTTCCGTAGTGATACTGCCTTGGAAACCCAAGGAGGGGTCACTATGAGTCGGGTCCGACTCGATGGCATATAACAGCAACACAGCAACATGTGGAATTTACAGCACATACAAAGGCCCTGAGACAGATCTGGTTCTGTCTCAGACAACAACTTTACATGCACTTTTGAGATATGGAAAAGGTAAGATACAGAGACAGATTAGGCCCCTTAAATCTCTCAGGGCATCTTATCTTACATTGGCAGTTCAACTGCACTCCTGGACACATCTGCATCTTACCGTAGGTGATGACAAGCAGCACAAAGTTGAGGTTTTTGAAGAGCCGGACAATGGAACTGAAATATGATGCATCAGGAGATGCCAGTGCATAGCTCAAGGACTGGGCCCTGCTGGGGGGATGTTTGGGCTTCTCCTTAAATACTGAAAGAAAAGAAACAGAGAGATCACTGCAAATCCCTGTGGTTGCATCCCTGCTGAGCTGACACACAGATAAGTGTTGACTTATCATCTGAGAAGAAGGTAAGACTCCAAAAGAAAGTTAAGTGCCATACAGCCCCCTCTCTTGAAGCTGCTTCTCACTATCTAAGACTGAGGGAGTGGTCCTTTGATTGCTTTTTCTTAATGGCATATGGCAAGCTGGAATTATTGGGTTTCCCAGGCAGTGTTCAAGGATCAAGGAGTTCCATAAAAATCAGCAAATAACATACCACAGAGCGCTGAAAAAAATACAGTATTAACACATGGACGGACAAGCAAATGCTGGAGCTTTGGCATTAGTGAGTCCAGTAAATGGCTAGCACCAGATTTGCTACAAAGGGGATAAGACTGAACTGCCTGGGCTTAGTACAGTGCCTGGCACACAGAGACTGATATGGAATCCCTGAGTAAGTGAGGGAGATCTTCTGTGGGAAAAACCCAGAGTCCATTGCTAGTTTCTCAAAGTCTGAATCAGACACCTGCCTCATGAAGGAGACAGGAAAGACATACATGTGTTTCTCTAAGAGTGGGCACTCTAATATGAAGAACTGGAAGGGGTAGTGGGAAAATCACCCATTTTATATTCTATCTTCAGTATAACTGGTAATTATTATATTGACTGAACTGATTGCCATTCAGTATACATTTTGTTTGGCTAAACAGTTGTTAGTGGCCATCAAGTGAACACCAACTCATGTTACTTATGTATAACAAAATTAAACGTATTCTGATCTTACGTCATTTTCATGTTCACTGGTTCCCCAATTGAATCCAAGTATTATGTGGCCTCTCCTTCCCCTCCCGACCATGAGAATATTCCTAAAAGGTCAGTAGACGATTTCCAGTTAGAGGAAGCTCTGGAAATGAGGTTTACTCTCTCCTGGGAGATCAAAGGGAACCCTTAACCCAGAGAGTCCTGAGCTTGGTTTCAGAGCCATGGTTCTTCCCTCTCCGGAAACAGTCTTGGATAACTTCCCACTCACATTCTCAGGCTGCCTCTTGCCTATTCACCTCCCTTTCAATCAGGGGAAAGAAAGCAAGTCAACAAGGTTATTATCTCTTTATCAGCAAGGTGGTTCAAGGTTTTGGGAACTACAAACCTGAAGTCAAATAAGATTTTTCAATTCTTTACTCAATGAGTTGCTATCTGTGCTTGATCAAAAATGTAGATATATCTACTGCAAAGAGCCAGGCCATTATCTGCTACAAACACAAGAGTTTGGAGCTAGGCACATTACAAATATAAACTTAAAGTCTGGATCCATAAGAGTAAAAAGCAAAGATGTTCCTTTGAGGATTAAGACATGTGTGACCCACACCATGGCATTTTCAACCATCTCATATGCATGGAAAAGTTGGACAATGAACAAGGAAGACTGAAGAAGAATTGATGCATTTGTATTATGGTTTTGGTGGAAAATATTAAATATACCATTCTGTAAGGGATTTTAAAATTAGGGTGCCTGGTACTTCTGAAGGGGGCTGGCTCAGGTTTAAGCCTGCCTCCATCTTGTGTCTTGTAAAACTCCATTTTGTTTGTTCTGTTTTTTTCCTTAGCTGTAGTTAACCTTTGTATAGCTGTAATAATGCAATCAAGGAAATGTTTTCCACCATGAACTGTAAACTTTAGAAGCAGCTTCTCTAGTTTCATGTAATTGTATTGAGGAGATCAGGTTCATTTAAACACTTGTAACTTGTTTCTAAGACTCCAGAGGTCTTACGATCATGGTTCACTCTTGCAATTGTCTTAGCAAGATTTCTATTTTTCTATTCTTTATGATGTTTGAGTACATACTGCTTTCTTATAAGCTGTACCTAGGCCACCAATGTGTAGAACACATCTTATGAAGCTAAGGAGAGGGACTAAAATAAAACTCATTGTGTAAGATATTCTACTGTGTGTTCTCAGAAAATCTATCATTAAGCACCTTGTGACCACCTTGTGATCCCCCTCCCAGCAAGATGCATTGCATCCAATCACCACAACCCACATATCCTTTGTGAACGAATCACAGCAAAACATCTGCTTCCAGATAGCCTGTCCTCGACCATCTTACCTCACTAAGCACCAATCAGAAAAATATAACCTAAGGTCCTGGTTTTACATATGGCTATGTGACTCCAGCATAGTGAAGCACTTGGTAGTTTCCTCTCTGCCCTGCGTGTCCCCAATTTGTGAATTGTATTACCCTCAATAAAACTCTTTGCTTTTTTACTTTTAACAGACTCAGAGATTTTACTCTTTGACATAATGGATGGCCAGTAGAATGAGCAAATCTGTCTTGGAAGAAGCATAGCTAGAATACTCCTTGGAAGGGAGGACGGTGAGACTTTGTGTCACTTACTTTGGACATGCTCTCAGGAGGGACCAGTTGCTGGAGAAGGACATAATGCTTGGTAAAGTAGAGTCAGTGAAAAGAAGGAGACCCTTCAGAAGATGGATTGGCACAGTGGCTGCAAGAATGGGCTCAAACATAGCAATGATTGTGAGGATGGTACAAGACCAGGCAGTGTTTCATTCTTTCGTACATGGGATCAGTATGAGTTGGAAACAACTTGACAACTAACAAGTAAGAGGGTCACTGGCCTTATCTTTCTTCTCTGCTCTCATCTACAGCTCCATAGCCACAAGTGCTGGCTTGGTAAGTTTCTTGCCTCTCCAGGAACACTAAGACCTCTGTCCAAGGCATTGTGTCAGCTTTCAAAAGCCATCAGGCAGCCCTTCACCATGCTGGACTCCAAGGAAAGAAGAATACAGAGAGAGTGGCTGAATGAGTTACATGATTATAGAACCATTTGGCTTTGAGGGTGAGGCCAGCAGGCAAGAATGAAACCTTTACCATGTGAGGTGGACCTTTCAGACATGAGGGAAAAAGCTGGTTAACCTTAGACAGGTGACTAACTGAATGTGAAAGCCTCTACCTTCGCTGTTTCTTAATAGTCCTTACAACATCACTCATATGAAAAAAGGATATAAAATTATAATAATTATGATTTATTCATTATAGTATCTGACTAATTAAATGCACATGCACAAAAACTAATAATAATAACCTGAGGTTGGGAGTTGGGATAAATTTGCACAGGCTAAATTAATGGTCAGTCTTTTTTGCATTTTATAGATTTTTCCATAATGAGGGTATATTATTTTTTTTAAAATTGTGGTTAAAAAAAAAAATCACTCCCATTGAGTCGATTTCAACTCATAGTGACCCCCACCGGGTTTCCAAATCTTTACAGAAGTAGATTGCTCCATATTTCTTCCGAGGAGTGGCTGGTGGATTTGAACCACCAATCTTCTGGTTAGCAGTCAGATGCCTTAGGCACTGCACCACCAGAGCTTCTTTGTGGTAAAATATGTATCACAAAAATGTGCTGTTTCAACCACTTTTAAGTGCACAACTCAGTGATATTAATCATATTGCACCATGCTATGCAACCACCACCATGATCCATTTATATATATATATATATATATATATATGTGTGTGTATATATATATATATATATATATAAAATATAGATATCCATACATATATTGTATATAGCCATATATAATATATAGATATATAAATCACCCCAAACAAAAACCCAGTACCCCTTAAGCAATAACTACCTGCTCCCCCTACCCTCACTTCTTCCTAACACTATTTGTAGTACCTACAACATCTGTTTCCATGAGTGTAAATGATATCATTTTATATGGAAAGTTTATTTTTCCAAAAGTGCCTTACATGTCTGCCTGAAAAGATGTGGGAAGATGAATGAGATCACAACCATGAGTACATATGTTTGGCAGAGGACATTTCTACATATGTAGTTGTATGTGCTGTAAATATATCCAAAGTTATAGTAGAGCATACAGGGGGCTCTTAGCCATAATCAAACACCTTAATGGTGTTTAGTCATTGGGCTTGGAGACTTAGGACCACAGTCTCAGGAGACATCTAGATCAATTGGCATAATACTGTCTGCAAAGATAATTTTCTACTACTATGATGAGTAATAATTGGGGTCTTAAAAGCTTGCAAGTGGCCGTCTAAGATGCAACTGTTGGTCTCTCCTCATCTGGAGCAAAGAAAAGTGAAGAAAATAGAAGAGTTCAGGAAACAATTAGTCCAGTTGGTCCACACAAACCATGGCTTCCACTAGCCTGAGACCAGAACTAGATGGTACTCGGCTATAACTCTGATCAAGATCACATTGGAAGGTCCTAGACAGAGACGGAGAGAAAAAAAAAAAAAAAAAGTAGACCAAAACTCAAAATCATAAAAATGACTGGATTTACTGGTCTGAGAGAGGAGCTCCTGAGACTGTGGGCCTTAGACACCCCTTAAGCTTAGAACTGAACTCACCCCTGGGGATCAACTTTCAGCTAAACAATAGCTAGGCCTATAAGTGAGTAATAACACCAAGGAGGAATGTACTCCTCAGTATAAACCATATGAGACCAAAAACTAAACTCACTGTTATCAAGTCAATTCCGACTCATAGCAACCGCCTTTTAGGTTTCCGAGGCAGTAAATCTTTACGGAAGCAGATTGCCCAGTCTTCCTTCCATGGAGTAGCTGGTATGTTTGAACTGCCAACCTTCTGGTTAGCAGTCAAATGCCTTAGGCACTACACCACCAGAGCTCCTTGTACGAGACCAAAAGGCAACATATATGTCCAAAAAACAAAGCTCAGAAGGCAAAAGAGGCAGGAAAGAAGCATGACTGGAAACAGAGAAGCCAGGCAGGAGTGGCAAGAGTGGCATTACACTGAGAGAATTGCAATCAATGTCACAGAACAAAAAGTGGTTGAATGAAAAAACTGTTGAATGAAAAACTAATTTGCTCTGTAACCTTTCACCCAAACTACAACAAAAAGTGCCTTGCAGTCCCTTGGCATTGAAGCTAAAGCCCACCCACTGTTTTCTTGTTCCCTCTCTTGTTAAGTACAGAATCAACAAAGCCCAAATAGTCTCCTATTAGAAAGAGACTGGAAAGGGACAAACAAAAACTCAGATTCTAAGGCTGAAGCCAGAACCGACTAGCAGATCATTCCCTAGAAACCACTGTTAAACTTTTGTCTCTGTGTATTTCCTGTTCTATACATTTCATATACATCCTTTTGAGTCTGACTTACTTCACTCAGCCTAATGTTTTCAAGGCTCATCTATGCCATGCATCACAACTTTATTTCTCTTTTTGGTTGAATAACATTCCATTGTATGGATAAACCACTTTATCTGAATTCTGCTTATTCATTTATCTGCTGATGGACACATGGGTTGTTTCTACTGGTTGGCTACTGTGGATAATGCTGCAATGCCGACTGATGTATGTTGTTGTTGTTATTTGCCATCGAGTCAGCCCCGACTCATAGCAACCCCTCCTTGGGTTTCCGAGGCAGTATCACTACGGAAGTAGGATTGCCCAACCTTCCTTCCGAGGAGTGGCTGGTGGGTTTGAACCGCCAGCCTTCTGGTTAGCAGTCAAGTGCCTTAGGCACTATGCTACCAGAGCTCCTAATATCAGTCTTATAATTTTAACAAAAAACATTAAAAACGTGGTCTCAAAGTGTTCTCAGGAGAATCTGTGACATTATCGGTGTTTGTGGATAGTTTTGTTTTTGTTTTCAGAAATTTAGAGTATGGAGTTAGACAAGCTTAGGTTTGAATCCAATTTCTGCCACTTACTAGCTATCTAATCTTGAGTAACTTAATTAACTTCCGTCAGCCTGATTTTCTGTTACCTAGGACTGATAATAGTACCTCCACCTCAAAGCATGTTGAGATTAAAATGAGATAGGGCTTGCTAAATGCTCACAAAATCTTAAGTGCTCACTGAGATTTCATCAGGACAATCAACAGTCTTCCCCCTAATTCTGGTGAGGTAGGCTTAGGGAACAGGTTAAATATAATTAAAACCTTTACTGAGTCCCTACCAAATTGCTTAGGGCTTTCTAAGTGCTTGTGATATCTTAAGGGTTCACCAGCATTTCATCAGGAGAATCAGCAGTCTACCCATTAATTCTGGTGAGATGGGCTTAGGGAACAGGTTAAATATAATTAAAACCTTTACTGAGTCCCTACCAAATTGCTTAGGGCTTTCTAAGTGCTTGTGATATCTTAAGGGTTCACCAGCATTTCATCAGGAGAATCAGCAGTCTACCCATTAATTCTGGTGAGATGGGCTTAGGGAACAGGTTAAATATAATTAAAACATTTACTGAGTTCCTAACAAATTGCACCGGACCACCTACCACTAATGCCAACTGCTCAGGGTAAAACATTTAAAGACCATTGTGAACCCAGCCTCCTGTTTCTGTAAAAGTCCATGGCATTCTAGGGCCATGTTCACAAGTGCCCCACCCAAGTCAACAGAACCTCCTTCTCCCCTCCCCATTCCAGTCCATTAATGACCTTACCAATGATGACAAGGATGAAAAGCAGAGTGGCCACACCTCCTATTATGTAGAACATAATGCTGATGTGATAGGCAAGCTGGTCCTGGTCTTTGATGTTGGGTACTAAAACAGGAGGGACCAAGAACCCAATTGCGATTCCAAGCTATAGAAGACAGAGACAATCAGAGTTACCAGTGGCCAAGAGAGGACAGTAGTTTTAAGGGAACTCCTAATAAACAAAATACCCTCCAAATTCAGTCCTTAAAACTCAAACAGGGATTGTTTTTTCCCCTCAAGACAACAGAGAAAACTGTCTTTTCATTGGCAACTCAACTTACACAGACTTCTGGCCACCCTCAACACTGATACCTGTGGGAAAAAAATATGGTTGAGGATCTCAATGCCAGCTGGCTGTTCTCTAGCTGCAGTCTAAAGGAACCACATTCCTGAATCCTCATTCTAAGATGCAATGACACAATGCTCATCAGTTTTTTCGTATGCCACTTAAATTCTTGATTTCACTGAGTGTATTAACATGGAACTGCAAGACTAGCTGGCAAAAAAGTTTTACACCCTTTGACCCAAAGAACTTGCATTCAGTAAGTTGGAAGTTGAATGCTGTTACCATATTTTGCAAGTAGGAAAGCTGGAGCTCATTGTGTGAATAACCCAGCAACTTATATCGTATCTTCAGCGTGAAGTCACACACAACTGCATTAATTTATACACACAAGACATGAACACATGCAAATTGGCAGTAACACACACAGGCATGTTGTTGTTGTTATGTGCTGTTGAGTCGGACCCGACTCATAGCGACCCCTCCTTGGTTTCTGAGGCAGTATCACTACGAAAGTAGATTGCCCATCTTCCTTCCAAGGAGTGGCTGGTGGGTTTGAACCTCCAGCCTTCTGGTTAACAGTCAAGTGCCTTAGGCACTATGCTACCAGAGCTCCCACACAGAGGCACACACCCCAACAATTCAAAACATCTCCTATCTAGATTGGAGTTCAAACTCCAGTAACTTGACAGATAACATGACTTCAGCATTTCAGAGGTCAGAAATGCTATGACTCAGTACTGGCTGGCTGGGAGACATCTCCCAAAAGCCCTTTGCCACACACGATAAACAAATTTTAAAACAGAAAAACTAAACCAGTGTCCAGCAGCTTGATTCTGACTCATAGTGACCCCGGGTGGGTCAGACTAGAACTGTGCTCCGCAGGGTTTGCACAGTTAGAAGTAGATCACCAGGCCTTGCTTCTGAGGTGTTTTTGAGTAGACAGGAGTCTCTGACCTTTCAGCTAGCAGCCAGGTGTGTTAGTCATTTGCTCCATCCAGGGACTCTACCATGCATGATACCAAGCCAGACACTGGAAAATGGCCTGGAAACTCAGACAAGTTTCTAATTCCAAGAGAGAAGGAAGATGAGTAAGTCCTTTGTCCTGAGGTCCCATTTTTCCTTTATTAGACTTGAAAGGAACTAAGGTAAAGAAGCACCTTGCTGGCAGTCTGCTGGCCTTCTTACTGGTTTCCTCTGTCAAATCTATTAACTCAGACTGGATACTTGTGGTTTTCAGCTCTGAAATATTCACTAACAGCCATCAACAGGCTGGGTGAAGGGCTCTTTCAATTTATGCCAGTACAGAATCAATGAATCAAACACATCTTTAAAGCATCTGCCGTGCGGAAAGTACTCTGCTAATATTTTAGGAGGAACTGAGCCAGGCTCCTGTGTTCTCAAAACACAAACACCCTGCAATACTACTGCCCTGAGATAATCTTTAAACCTTAAACCAAAATATTCCCTGAACTCTTCTTTACACCAAACACTAGGTTAACTTATTAGTAAACAATGTTTGCCTTTATGGTGCCCTTTTAAAGAACAATCTATATAGGTTCAAATTGACAGCAGCAACTTGAAAGATCAGATAGTAAGCTTAGGAGGCAGTGAGTTTATTTTAATGGGGGAGGAACCATTTGGGAAAGAAGGGTGAGAATGGTTGCACAACTTGAAGAATGTAATAAATGTCCCTGAATTGTACATGGAGATATTGTTTAATTGGTGTATGTTTTGCTCTGTATATTTTCTATAACAACAACAACAAATGTAAACACTTAAACACAAGGGAAAGAAAGATGTGCAGAAATCGAGTTCCAGGACTAGTGCTATTACTGTGGTTCCCCCAAAAAAACCTGAGGGTAAACAGCACAAAACAGATTTAGGAATGGGATTTCATTCTTCTTGGTTATACAAAAAACAATAATAATTGTGAAACTGGGTTAAAAAAAAAATTAAACACACAACTACCATATGACTCAGCCATTCCACTCATAAATATTTACCCAAAACTAGTAACACATTTCCATATAAAGATTTATGTATGAATGTTCAAAGCAACTGTTTTTGTAATATCCCCCCAAACAGGAAACAATCCAAATATTAATTAGTGAGTGGATAAAATTCAATACTTCCCTGCAATAGTCTATTCAGCAACAAATCATGATGTAAGTCATTCACAAAAGGAAAAATATTTATGATCTCACTCATATGAAATATCTATAATAGGCAAATGTATAGAGACCAAAGTTTATTAGGGGCATAAGGGGAGGAGAAAAGGGGAGTCAACTGTTCAGGAAGCTTGAGTTTCTGTTTATGGTGATGGAATATCTGGCAATGGATACTGCTGATGGTTGTACAACATGATTAATGTAATTGATATCATTAATTGCACATATGATAAATATTAAATTGGCAAATGTTATATGTATATTTTTATAGAAATAAATTATTAACTATTGAAAAAAAGAATACAAACAATATCACAAATTGTGTGTTGAAATTAGAGTGATAAATAGTGTTCTGGTTACCTAGTGCCGCTCTGACAAGAATATACCACAAATGGGATGGCCTTAACAAAAATTGCGGTGGTTATGTTTGTGTGTCAACTTGGCTGGGCCTGGTTGAGTGGCTGGGCAGCTGGTGGTAGTTATTCCCCGTGATGAGACTGGCAATCAGCTCCATGGTGGGATCTATCACAAGCAGCTGAATGCAGCCATCGACCCCCACAGGAGGCTAGTGAAGCATGCCTGGTGGGGTTGTTTGAAGACTAATCTGTGTGCCATCAGAGTGCCGCTCTCAAGAATACACCACAAACAGGATGGCCTCAACAAACAGGAGTTTATTCTTACAATTTGGAGGCATTAGGTCTGAGTTCAAAGTGCCAGTCTTTAGGGGCTGTGTAAAAACCCCTCAACCTTGGGCTTCAGCTCTGCCTCCAGCTCCTGGCCCACTGAAACTAGAGGCTTTTCTTCACTCAGACCACATTCCCTAAGGCAGCTACTCATCTGCTTGTGGTAGATCCCACCATGGAGTTGACTGCCAATCTCATCATGGGGAATAACTACCACCAGCTGCCCAGCCACTCAACCAGGCCCAGCCAAGTTGACACACAAACATAACCACCACATATAATTTGCAAGTTCCTTTCCAATCCTCTATTATAAACCAATTATTAGAAGACCAAATAAGCTAAGTATGGTTAAGTTCTAGAGGTTAAGTGACTTCTTTAGGGTCACACAGAGTTCTAGCAGAGTCGGGGTGAGAAAACAGATCTCCTGGCTTGTCAGGCCAGTGCCTCCTCCTTGTGGCCTAGCAGAAGGGTTTTCCAGGGCTAAAAGCCTTGAGGAAGAACCAAGGGAGCAGGTGTCTCCCAAAGGGAAGCATATTTCATGTCCTTGGAGATTTATCTATCTGTTCCTCAATCACACTGACTTGTCAAAGTAGAGTCAAGTTTCTCCATTGCTTATCTCCAAGACTTTGAGGTTACAATCAGCCACAAACAGGCAATACAACCTTCTTCATAGCTGGGACCCCAGGACTGCTCCAGGTCATATCTGGCCCTTATGCGCTTTGGAACTTTGATCAGAAGTTAAGTAGAATCCTGGAGAAAGCTCAGTCAGCGAGGCTCTTCCCAATAGTGTTCCTTCAGAGCCCACTCACAGAAGAATAAGGAGAAGCACCTTCTGCATCCACATCCCCAGCAGTGGTCCTGGATCACCAAGTAGGGAGGTTAGGCCAGAGTTACTGCAGGGCTCCTCCAGGATCCCATTTGTGAGATGAAGGAAGGTAAAGGAAATCATCCATGGTTGTGCAATTCTTTCATTTCCCAAAAGGAAAATACAAATCCTGAGACCCCCCAATACAGGACAACCTAACCCCCAATGATTTCCTGCCTCACAAAATCCTTCCAGCTGGTCCTACACTACACGACTAATCCTTCTGTTCTCTGTGTCTATATACTAAGCCTGAGTGAGTGCTGTTCTGCCCCAAGTCCAAAATGGAAGCCTTCTCCAGTCACCAGGATGGAGTGGTGAGATGGAGGGACCCACAATAAGCCCAGCTGGAAAGCAACACTGCCTCACAGTAACCTTTCTCAAGGAGAAATTGGCTTTGGAGGTGCTTTCATAACTAGCATGGAAAACTAAAGCATAAGGATTAGACTGGAAAGTTCTAGTTCTTTTGTTTTCTCAAGACTTTCTATTTTCCTTCTTCCTTTTTTTTTTTTAATTTTTATTGTGAGTTGGGTGAAAGTTTACAGAGCAAATTCATTTTCCACACAGCAGTTCGTACATATTTTGTCTCATAACATTGACTGCAATTTCCCACAATGTAACAGTTCTTCCCACTTCTTCTCCACAGTTACCTCTTCCTTGTATCCTTCCCTCTCATGCACTCCTGCCCCCCAGGCTGTCTCCCTGTATATACACAGCTCTTCTGTTCTCCCATGACTGATCTCTCCAACAAGTGTATCTACCTGATGTAAATGTTCAGCCCAAACTCCAGTCTTTTATTTGGCTAGAAGCCACAGGAATGGGTTCAATTACAGACCTGAAAGGCAGCTAGGGGCCACAGTCTCAGAGGTTTCACCAGGCTCTATCAGGCCAGTATCTGGGTTTGTTTGTTTTTTTTAAATATAATTTTGAGTTTTGTTCCACGTTGTTCTCCCACTCTATCCAGGATTTCCTACACAGATTGCCCTCTGAGTGGTTGACAGTGGTAGCTGGGCATCATCTAGTTCTTCTGGTCTCATGGTCATATAGGCTGAGGATTGGCATGGTCTACCAGCTCCCTGGATTAATTGTTTCCATGCATTTTCTTCA